TGGCCAAAGATTGATAAAGATGTCGAGATGTTAGTCAAGAGCTGCAAAGGGTGCACTCTTGTGGGACTGCCAAATCCACCTGTACCTATGAAACGGCGGGAACTTCCATCAGCACCATGGGTCGACATCGCAATGGATTTGTTAGGACCACTACCAAGCAACGATTACCTTCTGGTAGTAATTGACTATTTCAGTCGTTACGAAGAAATCAAGATAACCAAAATCATTAATAGTGTACAAATAATAAATAATTTAAAAGAGATATTTAGTCGCCTCGGCTACCCAGTTTAAATTAGTGCAGATAATGGGCGTCAATTTATTAGTGAAGAATTTAAAAGCTTTTGTTCTGAGTGTGATATTAAATTATTAAATTCTATACCATATTGGCCCCAGATGAATGGCGAAGTAGAGCGCCAAAATCGTGACATACTAAAACGACTAAGAATCAGTCAACTTGAAAAAAAAAGATTTGAAAGAGACATTGTATGAATACCTGATGATGTATAATTCTACTCCACATTCAGTAACAGGGAAATCACCATCAGAACTTTTCTTTAATCGTCAAAACAGAGACAAAATACCTATGTTGAAAAACATCAATAGCGAAGAAAACTATTCAGAAATTAGGGACCGAGATAAACTACAAAAGGAAAAGGGTAAAGAATACGGAGACCGGAAAAGAAGAGCAAAAATTCTGAAATAATAGAAGGAGATAAAGTTTATTTAAAACATATGGAAAGACCAAACAAACTAACTGCTAACTTCAGCCCTACCCCGCACGTTGTAGAGAATTCGCTAGGTGGAGATATCACAGTAAGAAATGAAGAGACCGGACAAAGATTACGGAGAAATGTTATGCATTTAAAGAAAATAGATGGAATATGGAACTCTATCCGTGATGAGACCACATCATCCTCAGAAGGTCATGAAAGGGAAGATCATAACGATGCAAATTAAGTTAAATTTATTTTTTGATTTTGTATTGATTCAAGAAATAAGTCCATTATTTAAATGTTATTTGGATTAAAAATGTATTTCATTTGAGTAAAAAAATTCCTTCGTAAGGAAGGGATGTAGTGTTGTGTCTATACAATAGATTCAATACACTGTCTCATATACACAAGTGGTGGGGGGTAACACGTCATTCGGTTGTTGCACTGAGTGCCGGCGGGCAGTTGCCTTGTGGAGTGCTCCGAGGTAGTACGTGTACCCAGCAGGACGTTGGTGTTATAGTGAGGGTTTTTTTCTATAAATGTTCTACAATTATGAACCTAATTTAGTTGTTATTATGAAAGTTCTTATGTGAATTTAAGTAGATGTTGTTATTATATAATAATTTCATTGATTTGTTTTTACTTACTTTTTAACCAACTTCGAAAAAAAGGAGGCGGTTCTCAATTCGTTGTTTTTTGGTTATGTATGTTCTGTTCCCCGATTTGTCGAAGATGCCTGAACCGATTTGGAAAAATATTTTTTGGTTAGAAAGAATATACTTTCCAGATGATCCCATGGTAATCGATGATGGTCAGATCAGAATCTGATGATGAGATCTTGCAGAAATCGAGGGAACTCTATCACGGATCTATGCATTCTTTACGCAACCACACAGTATATCACGCCTGTACCCACTAAAGGGACATAACTCTCAACTAAAAATAGTAACATTAAAAAAAATTAAAACTTTGACTTCTAAAACAGAAAAAAGTGTAAAATAATTATGTTTTTTTATGTTTTTGTACTTTATTTTAGGTTATGCAAACATTACTGTAGGTACTATGTATTCTAAATAGGTATTTACTTACCATAGCTAGTTAGCTATAATAGCCCCCAGGCAAATCCCCGAAGTATATGCCAGTGTCAGGATAACTGCTTTTTCGACAGCGCGACTGATGTGAGTGGGGCTTTTATGTAGGTTATATATATAAATAATTGTGATTTTCACGCTGCCAAAATCCGCTTGGTATATTCATATTATTGGTTATCAAAATACAATAAAATCTGTGTATATATATAGAGAATTTTGTATAGTCTATTTTATTTTATAATGCCAAGCTTTCAAAAAGAAAGTGGTCCGTCCGACATATCCCGAGCGGTCGCATGCGACTTGTCGGACGGATGCAACTGCATGGGATTTTTATGGGGATTGAAGGATTAATAAGCTATAATGGTAACAGTAACGATAAAATATCCCGACCTGCAACGAGGAGCAGCGTCATAATTGTTATACACTTTGTAATCGATCGTCAATCTGCCTAGGAAGAGTGACGATTAAGACCAAGTCTCCAAATCCTATAATGTTACAAGGCCAAGCACAACATTAGACTTTCATGGGCCTCTGGAGAAGAATAAATAAATAGTTGAAGAGGTGACACGAGAGGAATATCTATACTTGTAATTTTATTTAGGTGAACTTAAGGATTTTAAAAAGTTTATAGGAAAAATATAGAACTTCTAATAAAATCTAAACCTTTGCAATGACAGCAGGACAAAAACAAGATGTCATAGAAAAATTATTTTATTGCTGTTATAAAGTTTTTATTGCTGCGGCTAACCCAGATATATGTCTTTAAATTATGAAATTATACTAACGTCTCATTTTATTGCCTTTTTAATTCCGTAAAAATGTCCTCACGATCAAAGTTAAGTCACGACGCGTCGTGACTTAACTTTGATCACGGTCAGTCTCGATGGAGACTAGCCTGACTTAGCAACACAGGTGCACTCTCGATTCCCTCATTATCATAGTGCGACCGGAGAGCAATCCGAAATTACCGAAGAGTGGTCACGGGCAGGATAGAATCGAATGGAATTATTTCTATGCAATATGTTATTTTATTGAATAAAAACAATTCTATTCTTTTCTAATAAAAATGATTCTAGTCTCTTTAACTCCGTCCTCCACGGCGGAACTACTCCGGAAGTGCGGTGGTCTTTTTCTTCAAGAAAGCGTTGTCCCTTAACTACAGACCAATTTCCCTTTTGAGCCGCGTCTATGTGCTGTTTTCGAGAGTCATTACGAATCGTCTCGGACGCAGACCGACGACTTCAACCATCCCCAAAAAGCTGGTTTTCGAAAGGACTTTATTATCATAGACCACATACATACCCTTCGGCAAATTGTACAGAAGACCAAATAGTACAATCTGCCACTTTGTTTAGTGTATGTGGACTATGAGAAAGTCTTCGATTACGTCGAAGTGAAGAGTAGGGCTACGATAGCTATGCGAGTACAGAATCAGAGTACGAAAGCCTCGAAACTCTTCACCGCTACATTGGAAGATGTTAACTACTGGACTGAAAAGGATACAGTAGGGTAGGGCGGGGCTTAAAGGTCCGCGGGTATAAAGGTCCACCATAAGTATCTAAAAACTAGCGGTATATCGTGCGTTCTAACTATGTACGCGGAATGATGAGAGCGCGGGAGGCGTAACGGGGCATCGCCGGCAGTCGAGCAGCGTCGCTGGCCGGAGATATACGACTACATCTAAAAATTTTAACGTAAGTAAATTTTTTCATCATTTTACTTTTTAGTTTCGAGCAGTGGTTTTTCGTTTATCACACCTAAACATAATTTATTAGTATAAGTGATTTATTTGTTTTTCACGATTTATTATTAGTTTTAGGCTCGGTTTAACGGTTATTTCGTTATAACTTTTAAAAATATTTACAAGTTGTTGGGGCAAAAAAGGTCCAATGTGGACCTTTTAGCCCCTCATTAATATGTGGGTTAATAAAGACTTTTTTGTTTCAGTATGCGCAACTATAAAAGAAAATCGGATCGTGGTACTAAATCTGTTGAGTTGATGCAACGAACAGCAGATTTAGTTATCAATGAAAATAAATCATTGAGGCATGTCGTGACTATGAATTAAGTAAAACTTCATTGTCAAGATTTATTAAGCGAATGAAGAATGACCCTGTTAACTTGAGATTTGGCTATGGTTCTCCACGGCAGATATTTAATAACGAACAAGAAGCCAGTCTCACAGAATACTTGCTCAAACTTGCACAAATTTTTCACGGCATAGGTCCTAAAGAAGTTCGTCGCATGGCTTATGACTGTGCCATTAAATATAAAATAAGTGTACCGTCAACATGGCATACAAATAAAATGGCCGGTAGAGATTGGATGTCTGCCTTTCTCAAACGTAATACAAGTCTTTTCATAAGAAAACCTGAAGCGACTAGCCTCAGCAGAGCTACGTCTTTCAATAAGTCTAATATGCAAGAGTTTTACACTAAATTAGCTGACGTTGTGGATCGATTCAAATTTACAGCTTCTTCCATATGGAATGCGGATGAAACTGGTGTATCCACCGTCACCAAACCATCAAAAATAGTTGCTGCTAAAGGAAAGCGAAATGTTGGATCAATAACATCCGGTGAACGTGGAACTAATGTAACCCTGTTAGTAGCGGTTTCTGCTACAGGTTCATCAGTTCCACCTATGTTCATCTTCCCTCGCAAAAAGTTTCAAGATCATTTCATTCGGGACGGTCCTACTGATTGCATTGGTGCTGGGAATTCTAGCGGTTGGATCACTAATGACAAGTTTTTCCCTATTTATGCAGCAATTTATCAAGCACGTTAGACCTTCTAAAGAATTTCCTATTCTGTTGGTTTTAGACAACCATTCTTCGCACTTATCTGTACCAACACTAGATTTAGCTAAAGAAAATGGAGTGGTCATGCTCTCTTTCCCTCTTCTCACAAATTACAGCCACTTGACGTGTCGGTATATGGCCATTTTAAAAGATACCTGTATTCAGCTCAAGATGCTGGGATGCGGAATAACGCTGGAAAAACCATGACCATTTATGATATCCCTGGGATCGTCCGCACTTCTTTACCTTTAGCTTTGACACCGAGTAACATAATGAGTGGATTCGAAAAAACTGGAATATTTCCCTTCAACCAACATAAATTTAATGACGCTGATTTTGCATCTAGTTACGTAACGGACCGTCCTATGGAAACTGTCCACTCCTCCGCCAACAATATTGTCTAATCCACAACCTTCAACACCGTTAGATCCGCAGCCATCATCATATGATGCACAGATATCAGTTGATCCACACGAATGTTTTTCCCCCGAAATCGTGCGACCACTACCTAAAGCCGGACCACGAAAGTCAACTATTAATAGGAAGCGCCGAAAAACTGCTATTTTGACGGACAAATCAGAAAAAGAAAATCTACGTAAAGAACAAGAAACCTTGAGTAAGAAAAAGGCTAAAGGTGTAAACAAGAAAAGCAAAGCAGCTAAAAGAGTTGAGAAAGTAAAAAAAGCTATTTTACAAGAGGTTAATAGTGATTCCAGCTCTGACGATGAATGCTTCTGTTTGATTTGCTGCGAGAAGTACAGTGACAGTGTTCCAGACGAAGGTTGGATTCAATGCAATCTTTGTAAACAATGGGCCCATGAAAAATGTATCTCAAACAGAGGTAGCATTTACTTTGTTTGTATTAGCTGTGATTCAGAAAACGATGAGTCTGATTAAGATAATATAGAGATACCAAGACATGTTGATTATGTTAATTTGTTGAAGTTAATAATTAAAGAAGAGTTTAATTTTTGTGTTACGGTTAAAGAAGTATACTATATTGTTTTATAAAAAATTGTTTGTTAAAAGTTTTTAAAAGACTATGTAAGATTAGTTGTAATTGTGATTTTAAATTCAGGCTATGTCAAAATTCATAATGAATAGTGCTGTCTTGTTTAATTGTATACTTCAATAGAGACTGATTAGTGATTAAACTATTATAAGCTCAACAAAGTTAGAAATTATTAGTTCGACTGTTACTGTTATAATATGTACATTTAGAAAAAAATAAATTTTGTTTGGTAAAAAAAATATTTTCTTTTAGAATAGAGACTTTTTAAATAATATGTATCTTGGAATTATAATAAGGTTTTTGGTTTGTTTAAAAATTAAAATATTTTTAACTTTTTGTTTTTTGAACAAAAATAAACGACTGAATTTTATTGAACCAAATATTTTTTTAGTTCCATAAAATCGATTTTAAATGAAAATTAAATACTGGACCTTTTTGCCTCCTGCCTGTCCCTTTTTACCCCTACTATGGGGCAAAAAGGGACAGACGACAAGGTCTAAAAAAGTTGTAGAAACACATATTTCTATTATAATAATTCAACTGAAAATTGAGTCAAACATACTCAGATAACTGTTTGTTTGATTAGTGTTATTTATTTTGATATAATAGAGTTAGTTTTCACAGTATTATTCGAAATAGTCAAATTGGACCTTTAAGCCCCGCCCTACCCTACATGATTAAAACTACTTTTACGGATTTTATCGCGTTTATTTTTACTTTTTATTTACTTTTATTTTTAATACCCGACGTTTCGGGCGCTTTCCAGCACCCATGGTCACGGGGAACTGAGATGACTGACGTCTCGATGTCATTGTTAAACCCGGAGTACCTACAGCTTTTTTTAATTATTGTTTATGGTTCGATCTATGCAAAGTGAACTGACTATGTCCTGAGGTCTTGCAGTGGTATGCTTGGGTTTAGTTTTAATTTTATTGATTGTAGGATCCCAAGCAGGTGGTAGTACCCAGCCTCCTTCTCTATTGAAATTAGGATGTTTTTTAATTTCAATAGCCTCACGTATCATCCTTGGTAGGAATCGGTGTTCTTTCGCGAGGATTTGTGGTCTATCAAATCTGATGTAATGGTTGGGTCCGTCTAGGATATGATCACAAACTGCAGACTTCCCGGAACGTTGATGCTTCACATCAGCTATATGTTCTTTTACGCAGGTCCTAATTGATCTTTTTGTTTGTCCTATATAAGAGAGACCACATTCACAATCAAGCTTGTACACTCCTGCATCTTGTAGAGGAATATAACATTTGACGGATGGTAGGAACTGACTAATCTTCGGCGGCTTGTAGAATGTTCTAATAGAAGCTCGCTTCAAGATATAGCCAATCTTGTCTGTGACACCTCTGACATATGGTAGTACAGCAGGCACACGCTCGACTGTGGCCAGCTTCACTCGGTCACTGTGACGTAGGCGCGGGACTCGAAGCTTGTTGTCGTGCAGAACTTGCTTGACGTGCTGAAGCTCGGTGGCCAGGTGTTTGCTGTCACAGATCCCTCGTGCTCTCTGTAACAAAGATTTACCCACGGTAGCTAACTGTGAAGGATGGTGGTGAGATTCACCGTTTAAATATCGGTTTGTATGAGTCCTTTTCCTATACACAGTGTGACCAATGGTGTTATTAGGATTTCGGATGACTAACACATGTAGGAAAGGTAAGGAATTATTTGCCTCTAACTCCATAGTAAATTGAATTTTAGAGTTTATGGAATTAAGATGTTCTAAAAATGCAGTTACTTTGTAATTAAGATGTTCTAAAAATGCAGTTACTTTGTACTTTGTAATTAAGATGTTCTAAAAATGCAGTTACTTTGTAACTTTTGTAACACGCACGCACGCACGCACACACGCACGCACGCACGCACGCACGCACGCACGCACGCACGCACGCACGCACGCACGCACGCACGCACGCACGCACGCACGCACGCACGCACGCACGCATTCACGCACGCACGCACGCACGCACGCACGCACGCACGCACGCACTACGCACGCACGCACGCACGCACGCACGCACGCACGCACGCACGCACGCACGCACGCACGCACGCACCACACACGCACGCACGCACGCACGCACGCACACACACACACACACACACACACACACACACACACACAGACACACACACACACACACACACACGCACACAGACACACACACACACACACACACACACACACACACACACACACACACACACCCGCACGCACGCACACGTACGTACTCGTAATTAGTTTGTACATTTATTTTGTGAAAAGCTACTTTCTCCTGAGATGCAGGTTCATAATTAGAAACTAGGGACTTTATATTTATTTAATGAAATTAAAAGTTATTGGTGAAATAAAGATTTATTATTATTATAAGCATATTACCCCTTAGCTGGCACGCTTATCTGATAATTTATATCATACCATAACATTTTATACCTGATGTATAAAAGAAATGTAATAAAATAAAACTACGCATCCGGTGACATAACCTTGGATGATGAAAAAACGTTGAACACATGTTTCACAGATTGATAATAGGTGCAGCATTATAGGAGTGAGGGTACCCGCTCTAAACTCATCCCTCTTAGATACCTTTTAACGTAGGAGAACCACGTTGCGACTATATCACGTTTGCAACAGGAATGGGCGGAACAGCTTGACCAGGTAAAGACCGCGCTCTCAAATACCTGTTAAAATAGCAGCTTAATGCAGCTATGTTTCGTATAGGTAATGAGGTAATCTATTTTCATTAATTAACGTGTAATTAATGAGGTGATCTATCTTCATTAATCTTCAGAGTTGACAAAGCAACTGTTACGTTGTCAACTCTGAAGATTAAAACTGTAGTGTAGTTGCGTCACGCAACTACACTGTGGTTTTAATCGAGACTAGATGTAGAAGTCTATGGACTAAAACATTAACGTACCAGCAGTAGTAACCTATTTTGTCATCTTTGTTCTAAAAAATCCAACCCGCCTGTTCATCGTGATAAGACTGGGAGTATCATCTAACAAATATTAATCAATCGGCATATTTTTAATAGATTGTCTAGCTGTGTATAAACCAAGGTTGTGGAAGGAAAAACAACAATCAAAATAATAAAATTATCATAAAAAAACATTACTGATCATAAACATATCGATCTGATGCAATTTAATGAAGTTAGTGCACAATTTTTTGACTTTCCTTGCTAAGTACGAACTAGCCTTAGGTAAATAGATAACACCGAAACTTCGACTTTGACTTTTCCTTTTTTAATTAATTTTAACTAATCATTTGCTTGTTCTATCAAAACCTCAACCATACTTGCTTAATAGCGAATAAAATTAAAATCAAAGTAAAAGAACAACGAAACTTTTAATACGAGTTCGGCAGCTCGGTAAAGTTTTGTAAGAAAAATTTTTACTAACTCCCGATGTTTGATAAAGTTTTGCGCCTTTGAAATAATATTTTATTTTTTCTGCTTTTGAATACCATATGACTGTTTACTATTTTCATATAAAGCGTAATAATATAGCAGTAGACTATTCCGGTCTTATTCGGCAGGCAGGCAAATTATTCCAATTATCAACGCTTTGCTCTATGTATTATAAACTAAAGAAGCCACTTTTTCGACCAATATTTATATAACAAAGGAACTACGGGAACCCGCCAATAGGCTGTTTCTCAACCTTTTTATCTTTTTAAAGAACAACTTTTTTACAACTGTTACAAACGAGTACACCGTCCACCTGATGGTAAGTGGCTGCTGTGGCCTACATACATCTACATTTACCCTCGATTAAGAATCAAAACGCAGATGTATTGTTACCCCTGAGGGCTAAAATGTAATGCCTCGTTTGCAGTAAATAAGGGTCTCCAGATCTCGACATATGAAACACAGCAGTATTAAGCTGCTGTTTTACGCGTGAGAGCGTAACGCAGTGAGAGTGAGAGCGTAGTCCTTCCCCGGTCGACCCGAACCATTCGCGCTGCAGCTATAATATGACACCGAGACTTTACAACGTAAAATAATTTTATTGACCTGTTTCAAATCGCAGTTAGTTTTTAATTAAATCTATAAAAAGTTCGTTATTATATTGCACTTTGGGGCTCAGATTTACTGCCGATTTATGACCTAGGTGCCGAAAACAGACAGGCTATATACATGCAACTGGATGGTACAGGTCTCCTCTCATTTTTGATAGGGTTATGGAACAATTTACTCGCCGTGCAGCTCTAGGTCGTGTCCCGAAATATTTTATATCTCAGATATGTACGTGTATCTTTAAATTGTACTACTTTAGCACTTATTGTAATTACCAATATCATGGTGCTGGTGATGTTCGAATCCAGGCGACGATCTCTCAGTCTTTTAGTCGGTTCAATAGCAAAATATCTCCTAACCCAAATTCACAAACTAGTGATTGCAAGAAGAATCAACTCTGCACTTACTATTTTAAACGTAACATCAGCTTAACTTATCCTTAGATGTAAAAACTGAATTTTGTGCATTTTTATTTGCATTTAGGTATCTATAGGCCAAATCACCTACTTTCCATGACTGTGAGTTCAGTTTTGAAATCTACTTGTCTTTTTCTCCTTTTCTGGCTAGGAGCCAGGGTTAGTAGCATACTTTTATCTTTTTCTGCTCTCATGCATCGGTGTTAACACTTCTGTTCTTCACTTGTGTTCCGATTAAATGGGTAAGACAACAGGCAGGTTATTGTGTATATTCGCAGGCCAAGAGGCACTCAACCTTAATCCTCAGGGGTTTTGACACCAGTAAATTTTTTATTATTACTTAAAAATACCAAAAAAATTAACTAAGAATTTTAAAAACCCAAGATGCCTTTATATTATTGAATAATAATAAAGAATTCTATAAAAAATCTT